GACCAACTATATATGAGATGTTTTATTTTATTTTATGTATTGAGAACCTCGTTAGCTCCCACCATAGTGTGGAGCTATTCTTCCTGAGGTCTCTTTCAATTTCATTACAAATATTTTACAAACCCCCCCCCCCCCCCCCCCCCCCCCACACACACACACACGCACACACACACACCCAACAACAACAAACTCCAGGAGCTCATTATAATCATACCAGCTCAACTGCAATAATGATATACCAGTAAGTTACCACACACTTCAGCGTTCATGAAAAATCTAAATAAGTGAAAGTGAAAACGGAGCGTTTACACAGAGCATTACATAGCTATATCCAAGAATCAAAAATCATATCACATCACATCCGTAACAAACAAAAATTATAGAAGCTGTCATAACAGTCACATTTACAATTCACTGTGCAAAATTTACTGTTGTGTAAACAAAAAAAGCTTTAACTTTTTTTGAAAACATCTTCTGTTGTTCTTTAATAACAAAAATCTTGGCAGATCTTTATAGAATCAGAAATGAAGGTGTCGGGCGATCTAGTGAAGGCTTACTGGCAAAGGAGTAAAAAACTACGGCACTTGCCGGACTCACCAGAGAAGGTGTCGGGTGTGGGAGACTCGGTGACCCAGAAATGACCCAGAGGCGGCGGATCTGGAAGTGACGGAGGAGATGGAGCGGCGGCAGTAGCAGCGGTGGATGGTGGAACGTGTAACCGGCGGAAAGCCGTGTAAAGCTGGAGCAGACACTGATTAATAATGAGTAGTTGTTCCATGACTGACTGAATGGAGTTTTCATGCCGGGCTAACATGTCGGATAATGAGGGCGGAAGTGATTCGCTCGTGGATTGGGACGTTTGGCCGGTTGATTCTGTCATGATCGCAGGAAGCTTCCTGACCCACATGAAAGAATCACCACAGGCAGGAGGTAAGAAATAAGAATATGGTTTTATTAAATGAAAAAATAATAAACAGAGGACGCAGCTCCAAATGGGTGCTGGAAAAAGCCAACGGGAACTATTTCTCTGAACCTGGGAAAGTTTGCTGTCTGTGAAGGGGTGGGTGTGGTCATCTTTAATGCGCTATGTCATATGTCATATGTGAATAAAACCTTTTGAGGAGCTCCAGCTCTTTGAGAGACTAAACAGACCTCCCGCAACTGGTGTGTTTCTTTTTTCTCTCCAGTTTTGCAAAATCTGATTATTGATTATTTGTGTTTATTGGTAAATGGTACTAATATCAATAATATCTCTAACCCCTTGTGTGTTTTGGACTTTCTTTGAGGTACACCTGGACTTAACCCTTTGATGCATGAATTATGAAATCTTCAACCATGATTTTTTAAACTTTTTTTTTCATTCGTCTTTAGGTGTGAATGAAACAAATTTCAACAAATATTTTCTGTAAAATTTTATAATTTACAAATAATTTATTACATGTCCACTTCAGTGGGCAGCGTGCATTCTGAGCTTGAAATATGTTGGCTTGGCTTACTGAAGTCCAAATGGAGGGGCTCAAATGCAATAAAGTCTTCAACAGCTGTGCTTAATAGCAAAAACAAATACATAACAATTTTGAGTACCTGTCCACTTTAGTGACCATTATGCATCAAAGGGTTAATAAATAAAAATACCTAACAAATCTTATCAGATTATCCTACCTTGTGTGGTGTGTCGAACGCTCCGGTATGCTCAGAAGGACATGGGGAGCGCTTCTGTCATAAATCTGAGATTTGAAACATGTTGGATTGTCTTTGCTTTATATGCTAGAATAGACGAATGTGATGCTGTTGAATATGACATTTAATCAACCAGAAAGCACTCCTTTTTACTTAAAATGTGCATATAAGTGGAGAAACATTAAACTTGTAGTATATAGTTATGCACAAGAATCCATACCATTCTTTGACCTGCTCCTCTACTTCTGATCATCTTAAGGACACACCTGATTACTGCAATGATTCTAAAGATAATTATTTCAGATAATCCTGCCTTGTGTAGTGTGTTAAGTGTGCACCAGTCTGCCCTGAAGAATGTCTGGATTGCTCCAATCCTATATCTGAGATATCCAATGAGTTGGATTGTCTTGGTCTGATTTTCAAGACAAAAAAAAAAATCACTTTAGCCTAGAATCCTCATGGAAACAACATTTTGAGGCCTGATAAAAAAGTTTGAAATGGTTTCCAGAGTAGAAAAATCTTGAAAGGCAATCCCAAATTTTAAAGCTAAACATGAACATGTACTGGTGACAATTTACAATAAGGGTCCCTTTATTAACATTACTTAGTGCATTATTAAGCATTAGGAAGCAAAGAATCCCTTTATCAATGTCCCCGATAGTGTTAACTATTAAGTTTCCTTAAGGTTAGGATAAAGGGCCTTAACAGTAACATTATTATTAAGCAGATGTTAATACTTTATTTGATAGTTTATTAATGCTTAATAATGCACTAAGTAATGTTAATAAAGGGACCCTCATTGTAAAGTTGTACCCATGTACTTTTTATTTGTGCTTTCTTTTACTTTTTAGTTTAAGTTTGAATTTTATTCACAATATGTGTTTTCATAAGAATTTGTGCATTTCTAATCATCATCAGAACCCACCCTGAAAACAAACAAATCAACAAAAACAAGCTTGTAATCCCTCTGGGTGTATTTTCCAGGCTGTGAAGAGCGTGAGCTGAGCCAGAAGTTTGGCCGAGGTGTCTTCCTGTGTGTCAGCCGCAGGAAATGGCTCCACACAGATGAGGCATTTAGATCCCAGGTGCAAAACCCATCATTGGATCGCCTTGCCCAGATGGATAGTACTCCTTCCACCATAAAGACACTAGTCTTTTCCCTGCCCTGAATCCACCGGTGCTCCTGCCCTGGTCCAGCCTCATCAAAAGGAGCTGGAAGCTGGAGGCGGATATGCTGAGCTGCAGCCTCAAATCAAGCTCACTTTTTTCCCCCTGTAAGTGGGGGAGAAAACATTGGGGGCAGGGTACTTTCTTCTGGGGGACACCAGCTCCTTTCTTTTGCTTCTGTTCTGACTTTTGTATGTGTGGCTCCTTGCAGGTGTCCCTTTTTCCCACCCTGAAACAAAAACAATCCAAAAATACAGTCAAGAAAAAAATCAAGGCTGGTTTTCTTTCACTACTCAGTTTATTATGTCTCATTGTTAGATCACACACACTCACACACACACACACACACACACACAAACACACACACACACACACACACACACACACACACACACACACACACACACACACACACACACACACACACACACACACACACACACACATTCATGATGGTGGTTGCACTCTGTTCTCCTGCAGGTGCGAGGACCATCCGCCTGGCCCTTTTCATAGATCCCTCTTTCCTGTCCGTCTGCAGCCGTCCATTCAGCTTCAATCACAGCAGCAGCCGGACGCCACCGGATCGCCAGTGGGGAAGGGAAGCTCTTCCACACACATTCTTCACTTCTCCAATGACAAGAGAGGAGCGGCTGGGAAGAAAGAAAGGCTCTTCCTCCTGCATCTCCTTCTGCTTTCACAGTAAACAACTTGCTTTCTGTTTGTAACGGTGCTGTCCCTCTCCGCCTCCCCCCTGCCTTTTCTTCTCTCCTCCATCAGATGGGCTTCACAAGGACGGGAGGGGTGTAGGGCAAGGAGAGGCCGGCCAGGCTCACATCGCGACTGGGTGATGCTGAGGTCTTTTTGTACCTCATGAATGGCACATTTGAGGTTTCCAGCCTTGCTCTGTGCCCCCGGCCAGCTTCACCTGTGCTCAGAGTCAATTGGCCTGTTGTCTGCCTGTCTGGAACGGCGCCCAGTTCTCTGGCGGCCAATTTGGTTAGCGAGGTTGCTCAGAACTGAACAATAACCTCCACCTCAAAACCATTAATTAACCCCCCACCATTCACTGTTTGCCAAAACTGTTCTCTGACACAATTAATACCCAGGCTAACGGTGCTTATACCTGCTCTCTGTCACTTCACAGAGAGCTGAGGGGTCTAATGGCTTCCAAATTGTTAAATGGTCTTAGTGGTGCATTCCATTAAGCACATACTGTTGCTTTTCTTTTTTTGGTAGTGCTTATAGCTCTTAATTAAATTAGCACAAAAAGGTAAGAGCAGTTTTACTCAGGCTGAGCTCTCTGTTGCTCAGATTGAAGTTACACTCAGATGTCTCCACAGAAGCCGCTTTCTCTGATATCCACAGGAAGTATGCTGAAATGTTGCTAAAATCGGTTTGGCATGAGCAAAATGTGTGAAGTTCTTAGAAACATAGTCAAATTCTGGGACTAGGCCTGTTCGGATTAAACTTTTAGCCTTTAGGGTCCATTCTTGGATTCAATAATATGCAGATGATGTATAGATTTATGTTCTGCTTAAATTGGGGTTCAGTTGTGACTTCTACATTTTTTTTCTTGAAGGTGTGATTACATTGATAGAAAAGTAAAAAAAAAAAAGTCTACAAAGTACTAACTTCAATTAATTTCACTTCATCAAGGATATGAGTGGTGTGTAAAAATTATTTAAAGACTAAGACATTAATTATCCAAGCCTAACTATCTAACTGTGGTTCATGCAGACACGTTTATAACTCAAAAATCAGCTGGAAATGAAATTCTTTTTCATGGATTTATGTCTGGTTTCACCAACAGCTGACGTACAACAGATGATACATGGTGAGAGAGTAAATAAAATTTACTAACAAACATTTTTTAAATGTAAGCATATTAATACTTGGTTTGTTTTTTGTGTGCAGTTTACTCGGCTCAATCATGTTTCCTGAAAATAACTATAAATAAAGAATGGATTTTTAGGCTCTGTGTAAAACTGTAGACTAATATTTGTTGTAATAGGAGTGAAATTACATCAAATTCAGTCATTTTCTGCTAAACTTTCCCAGTTTCACTGTGATTCAGCTAAATTAAGCTCCTGATCTGTGGCTTTTTACTGGTTTGTCTCCAAAACTGACATCCTGAAGCGGGATTCTGAGGATAGCGTGTTGGGGAGGAGTTGAGCTGAGGTGGGGTTCTGAGAGAGGAGCATTTAGCTCACTTCTCCACCCTGTGAGGTGGGAGTCTTGACTCACCCAGCTGGATACATGAGATAACTGAGCTGCTACTTCAGGAAGCTCTCGTTTACACACTCGAGGAAACAGAAACCTCTGAGGACAAACTGTCATTATGCTGGAGGCCAGCTGGCAACTTTCTTCAGGCAAACGATAAATTGTCAAGGTAAATGAATCAAGGTTTGATTTTTCTTTCATTTGCAGATTGTTTTCTAAAGCTTCTATGACATCTTCACTTCCTTTGCTTAACAGAGTAAAATTACTCAGAGAGCTTCTGAGGAGAAAATGAATGTTTTGTCAAATGCTGCAATCCGGGTCCAGGAGCAGTCTCCTCCTCTCTGTGGTCCCGGTTCGGTCCACGACTTACCTCACTGCCCGCCAGGGTTCAGCTTAAACTCCCGCATCAACCCTGCTCCGATGCTCAGCCTCCAGAGTGTCCAGAGATCCACCAAGGTCCAGAAGGAGCTGAGTCCAGAGGAGCAGCAGGACCTGAGGAGGAAGATCAACAGCAGGGAGAGGAAGAGGATGCAGGACTTGAACATTGCCATGGACGCTCTGAGGGAGGTCATGGTGCCCTATGCCTCCTCTCCTTCTTCTGCCTTCCCTCAGTCCCACCAGGCTGGAGCAGCTCCGGGAAGGAGGCTTTCCAAGATCTCCACCCTCGTTCTGGCCAGAAATTACATCCTCCTCCTGGGCTCGTCTCTGCAGGAGATGCGGCGGCTGCTGGGGGAGGTCAGCGTCGGGATGGGCGTGAACCCGGGGCCGGTGCCCCGACTGCTGCTTGCAGGAGGGTGGCCCCTCATGACCGGACCTGGCCAGCTCCTCTTCACACATGAATCCCTCATTTCTTCAGCTGCCTCCTCTTCTTCCTCTCCCTCCACAGCATCATCCCCTGTAGCTAAATGTGCGCTGGTTTCTCCGGGCCCCATGGTAGCCTCACTTGCTCCAGTGCAGTGGGGCTCTGCAGGGCCCATGGGGGCCCCCGTCTGCCCCTGTGGAGTGTGCAGACTGCCCAGGTTCTCCCAGTCCAAAGCTCCCAGATTCCCAAAGTAACAACTCCAAGGTGATGTTGCAGAAAGAACTTATGGCTCTTAACTTTTGATATGAACTATTTTTCTAACCTTTAACATGTTTATAATGTTTAACTGATCTTTATGTTTTATTTTATTAAGGATTAAGGAACCATTCTGTCTTTTACTGTCCATAAATCTCATAACACACTCTAGGACTTTTTTTTGTGTGTGTGAAAGTTCAGCCTCGACACTTGGTAGAGCTCATCTGAATAGTGAGTGAATGAGTGAATTAACTATGTGTCTGGTTTTGTTGTGACATCAGGACCAGATGAGATTCAGGTTTAGGCTGAGAGTTTAGTTTGTGTTCAACTTTGTAAATGTGATGGTTCAGTTCATTAAAACCAATGAGTTTTTACACACAGACGATGATGTGGTTGTTTTTATTTACTTCACCATTCCACACATGAACTACACACTGTCGGATTGTCCTCTTTTCACTGGGTCGGGTTCAAGGTCACATGACCCTTACAGCTGTGGACAATGATCTCAGCAGAAATCTGATTGGCTCCTGATCTGTCCTCATTCAATCATCACAGAAGAATAAAACTATAAACTATAACTATATTTAACCACATCTCACCAATATTGGCTGTGTGTTTGTATCCTATGGTTTAAAGATCTATTTGTATTTATTGACTGAACCAACAGAAAACTCATCTTTAGGTTGGACATCTCAGAAAAAGAAGGCACAGCTTCTACTAGAGTTAAGTAAATATAAGTTGGTGTTTTGTTTAAAGAAATGAGTATCTTGTCCAATTTTTAACCCTGTGATGTCCAAATCATGGCTAGAAAGATGTTTTTCTTTTTCTACCATTTTTCTTATTTTGATCAATGAGAGCTTTTACTATGGTTATAATTATTAATGATAATAATATAATTAAAGAAGTGTTGAAATATTGTTTTAACTTTTCATTCAATCATCACCGAAGTTTGCTGTTTTCTTCGATAACAATTGTTAATTTGTTCTCAAATTTCTATCCTGTGTTTTCCAGCTACAGTTCTCCCAAACGTTCTTTGCAGTCCTAGTTAGTTTTGAAGATTTCAGTCATAAAAGAAAGAAGCAAGGATCTTTTATTCACTGTAAATTTTACCTGAATCATGTCTGATACCCTCCAGATGCTGAGGAGCTGAAAAGCATCCTGTTCCCTCACACATCACCTCCATATTGTGTAACAGTCCTCATCCTTTCCTGCCATTCACTGATTCAACAAGCAAAAGATCAAAACCCGCCCGTGTAATTACAGCTCAGCAGAAAGAAGGCTTTTGATTATTAGCCCCCTCTCACTCCTCCAACCTCAGATTCTTGATGTGTCTGTGTTGAGGAGCCAGGACGGGTGATTCGGTGCTACTCATTACACTCACTCCACAATATGTTCAAATGCCCAGAAAATGTGTTGCACTGAATGGAGCTCACTCCTGCAAACTTGCCACCCCTCTGGAAGAAAGCCGGCAGCTTTATTCTGGGGGAGCATGAGAGGTGCTGGTGGGACCTGGCCCTTAGTGTGGCCTGCATGAATAATAAGAATGAAAATAATCATAATCATAATGCTGATAAAATACTCAAAATAATTGCCACCCTGGAATAAGAGGATTACGGAGGGTAGATATGTGAATGGTGGCTGGTGAAAGGACGGGAATCTGTTAGCATCGGGAGGACAAAGGAGGAGCTGGATGCTATTAAGTGAGATTAAGCTAAATAAGGCTTCATTTTCTTACACAGAAGCACCGGGAAGGAGAAGAGGGTGAAAGTAAAAGAGGAGAAGAAGTGGAGGAGGGGAGAGGCTGATTTATAGATCAAAGAGAGATGGCCAAACTTCACCTCTTTCATTTACATATAGCTGCTTTATGTCGCCGGAGGGATTAGCTACCTTGCTAGTTTCCCCAGGTTGCTCTCTATTCTCCTACCTTTGCCCACGATCCACTTCCTCCTGCTCTCAGGATGCTTCAGCCCTTCTTCTCTTTCTTTTTTTCCCCTCTTCACTTTGGGCTCCTTAATTTCTCCCTCCTCTCGTTCTCAGCTCTTTCTCTGAGGTTCTCCAAGAGGCTCTCACTTTCTTGTGTTTGGTGCTGCCATTGTTGCAGCGACACGGGGGTCTGGTCAGTCTTTGTGTCAGCACTTTAACTCATCTCCATTTCATCACTGTTGTTCAATGGGGCAAAGACAATACTCACACACACACACACACACACACACACACACACACACACACACACACACACACACACACACACACACACACACACACACACACACGGAGAAACCTGTGTGGCAGCTTGCTCTAAACTAAGAACTGAAAAACCTTTTTGTGTTTAAAGCAAAAGTTCACTTGTTTAATCAGTACATCTGCAGTGGTCTCTAGAAGGGATGAACGCCTCGTCTTTTCCTGGGGGATTAAATATACCGGTGCACCTTTTCTCTGTACTAAAAGTTGCCCACATCACAGCTGAGCTTCAGATGGCAGGATTTGAGTGTTATTTCCTGATATTTCACTCACTAATGTCTATGTTCTTATTTTGTTTTTAATGTTTTTGCGACTTGCTACTTTTATTTTTGTTACTTTTCCTGTCAAGCACCGTGGGCCCCCTTTGAGGGTGGTGGAAAGCGCAATATAAATAAAGCATGATGATGAAGATGTTTGCACATCTCGACTCGGATTCGATAACAGCAACGCAGCTCTACCACTGGCTTGTAACGAGGATGTTTTATCTCCATGAATAACACAAGCCTGGAAGAGTCTCTGCTGTCTGTTGATGTTCCTAATGCTAACGGTTAGCTTAAATTAGCCGAGACGTCCGCTGCTGTTTCCCAGGTCATTAGAACAACAACAGCCTTCCTCATTGTGAATCAAGATCAGTGAGTCCATGAGCACTATTCACAGTGTGACATAGATCTGTGGGGATTTTCAAATCCTACATTTTTACCATCTATTTTCTATCAGAAGCTACTGCGGGAGATAGGTGCTGGAGACTATTTTCTTGTTCAGCCTGCAGGACATCAGAAAAAACATTTAAAAATGTTTTTTTGTCAGCCACACCTTTAAACGATTTGTCTTTGTTGGACTAGCGGTTAGCTAATCAGTCCTTGATATGGATTTTATCAATAACCCAATACCTGCAGCCAAGAGAAAAAGAGAGACAGTTAAGCAGACAATTCACCAAATTGCAATCAAGGGCAGATGCACAAGGCAACTGCCAAGAGATTCTGCTCTGATAGTTTATTTATACAAGAACAAAAGATAAGGCAGTCTGTGAGAGAGAGAGTGTGTGTATGGCAAGTTACAAGGTAACAAGAATGTGTGGGTGTGTCTGAGTGTGTGAGAATGCTTTCAGGTTTAATGATCAAGAAATAATGGTACATTAAATTTCCATAACAGTCCTGCAAGGTGTAAATTGCACATTTCTTTCATCATCTATTTTAATGCAGAAACTCACCTCAAAATATCCACCCACTTTTGGATGTGATTTCTTAAAGGTGCGGTTTACTTCTTCATTCAGTACTTTAGCAGTTTTCTCTGTAAATGAATGCCTTATGAGCAATAATAGTAAAAAAAAAAGTAATGTTGCTCCTGTTCTGAGATGCAGAAGTTTGTTGGTGCAGAGGTGGGCTGAAACCAGCAGGATTGCTCATTCTTATTAATGAGACGCACACACCTCGCTTCTGATTGGCTGACAGAACACATTAAGTCCTGTTGCAAAACCACTATCACCAACACACTCTCCTCTCTCTCTCTCTCCTCGATGCAAAAAAAAAAACAAAAACAAAAAAACAAAATACCTTCCTGTGGACGGGCGTGAGCTAAGATGAGCGAGGCCATGAATGCAAATTCACAGTGTGACATCACAGTGTGAAGATTTTCAAATCCTAGCATTTCAGCATCTATTTTCTATCAGAAGCTACCACAGGAGTTAGATGTAGGAGACTATTTTCATTTTCAGCCCGCATGAAAAACTCAGAGTGACCGGTTATAATCAGAAATATTAATTAAAACATTTTTTTTCAGTCATCCACACCTTCAATAACGACAACGCAAAGTTCTCCAGCGTGCACGGAGGCATGAAAATGTTTCTGCACCTACTAGTTAGAGATCTGCAGTGAACCAATGTGTTTGCATAAGGAGCCAAAATGCCACCATGTAACCTAACCCCAACCCTAACCATGGGATACAGAAATGAAGTGGAACTTGATGATTAAACATGTTGTCTAAAGTTTTAGGACACTGAAAATAAATCAATGCATTTAAGTGTTCAATCAAGGCAGATCATTTCCTCTGAATTTTGAGGCGAGGCTTTGTCCTGGTGGCTTCAATCAACTCCTCATCGTAGATGAAGCGTGTTAACGGGTCTGCCCAGTCTAGATCTGTGGAAAAGACTTTACAACGATGAGAATAAAACCTCCATGATAAAGTTGTGTGTCCGTTTTTGTTGGTATGTTTACTTCCAAACATCAACGACACACTCCAATTAATATCCAATCCCATCTTTAATGTGGACGCTGTTTTTTCTCTCCTCTCTGAGTGCTGTCTGCTTCAGCTTTTGTCGAACGGTTTCGTAGCACTTAACAAGTCAACGTGGGGAGTCCTTGGCGTAGGAAGTCCTGAGCCATAAATTTCATCTCCACAATGAGAGGAGCACAGGGGCTGGTCAGGACCCCCATTTACTTTCTAACCCAGCTTTTATTCATTCCCTTCCTAAGTAACATCGGACCCTCCTGTGCTGTCCCACCCTGGAGTTCCTCATCGCCTCTGTCACCCCTTCTTTCTCAGGCCAGGCCGGTACAACAAGGTTACTGCTGGGTTTACCGGCTCGCTCATTAAGCATAGAGTCCCATTCACACCACAGCCCTCATTACAACTTTACAGGCCACCATCAACCATCACCTCATTACATCACCGTCAAAAGACAGCCTGAGACGTGGTGTGGTCACAGGATGCAGCTTCACTTCCTAACCAGTTTTACATGTGAAGCAATCAATAAAACATGAAGACATAGACAGAACGATCAGGACAGAAATAAGTCAAAGGTAATTAGTCGAGCTGTGATTTAGGACATTATTTGCTCTTTTTAATGTTTTAAACTAATAAATGTATTCAGACCTGAGAAATGCCCAGATAGAGAATATCTACAGAAACACATGATCCTATCAGGATATCTTCCATTTGTTGTGAAAACATGTTTATTCTTTATGAAAATAAACATGAAATATCTATCAAACCTCAAAGAAACACATATTTTATATTAGTAGATTAAACCCTTTCTATTTGATTTCTGTTTATTGTGCCTATTCAAGTAAAAAAATCAACAAAATTGAGCTGATATTCCATTTCAGAATCAGTAAACAGCATTGATTATTATATGTTATGA